GTGTGCGCGTGCGTGTGCGTGTGGAAAAGGGGAGGGGGGTCGTAATTAGAAGTGTCGGCAGTATAAACCTGAACTGGACTGTGGACTAGAAAGACTCTAATTATGGCTTGAGTTCAAGGGCGTTTTAGTATTTGTTATCATGATTAGGGCAAAGTTGGACATAAACATTGTTGGAATGGACAGTGAAATTTCCGGAACTTTTTTCGGAGACTGTCCATAAACATACTATGATCTCAGAAGACAGACAATATTGAAAACTAGATCTATAACACATACATTCTCATGGATTGGTTCGGAACAGCGCTACACACATACGGACCAGTTTATTTGCACGCGCATGCTGCTTCTCGTTTTATTTGTTTGTTGGTACGGTAATGCTGGAGATCTGGGCCATTCACTTAACACTATTCAACAAAATCTTTAATGTAAAAATATTTTCAGTTCTAGAAACATTGTGGTTTCCCAGGAAGTGTGCCAACGATAGGACTTACTGCAGAACAGCACATCACTTTTCGTTTTGTGTGTTTTGTTATCGTATTTTTTTCCCTTTTCATCGTCAAAACAAAGAAAGAAAAAAAGAATTCAATATACAAAATTATATAATATATATGCCATAGATCTACAGTATAGATTGACGAAACCAAAAAAGCCCTTATCCTCCACAGAAAATAAATATCAAAACAAATCTTGGACAGTCTACTAGGCCTATCCAAATTCCCTGTGAGCGTTTTGATTAGATTTAGATAAAGCTAAACAAAAACAGGATAGCTTACCAGGAAGGCGTTTGCGTGTCTATAATCCTCACGTAGCACTAAAAACCCTCGATCGCTGTGTCAAATAGACATAAACACATCCTCCGGTACACCTCAGCGGTTATCATATCGCAAGGGACACCTTACGTTGTGGTTTTGAGGAGAAAAAGTTCTTGGCACAGGCTTGCGTTTCGAGACAAAAATACAATTTTATACCTTTAGCTAAACACAGGGAGCGGTAAGGATAAAGGGTGTGGTTACGACGTGGATTTGGCACTCGTTCCTAGAAAACTACAACACAGGGGGTCATAATTTCGTCCGTTCTAGTTTTAGTTCCGCGATTCCTCTTTAACAAAACCACTGGCGTGTCACTTCCTTGTATAACAATACGGTTCAAAACCCTCTACAGTATTATTGCAGTTACACATGCGTTGTTATTGTGATGTAGCTGTTCTTGGACGTGGCGTTGCTTACGTACCACACCGACCAGTCAGATGAGCAATATTATACTATAGATCTATTGTAATCTTTTCGTACGCACAGCCACAGCCCTAGCAAGCAAAACGTTCTCCGGTAGACGAAAAGTCAACTTCTCGATTAGATTCAGCTCCTAGTCACACAATAACGCACGAGGGGTTTGCTGTGCGTTGCGCGGTCGGCAAAATATACATACAACAACACTACACCACACACTGCTGAAAGAAGAAGCCAAGCGCTGGGGTTTCGGCTTTGCTTGCGATAGTTTCGCCGTGTACACCTTTTTGCCGGCGACCATGTCTGGTCTCAAGTTCCATTGGTCGAGTCGGCGACCCCTCTCGGTTCGCATTACGTGCGTCGCGCTCGAGCAACGCGTCGCCATGGTAACAACGTCAATCATGTAACGGGACACCGAGGAGGGCGGAGGCTTCACAGGCTTGCCGTGCGCGCTGGCAGACGTATCGACTGACTCCTCCGTCTCTCTTTCTCTTCTTCCTCCTCGTCGTAGTCGTAGTGAGTGTGTGTGTGTGTGTGTGTGTGTGTCTTCGCTTTCCTTCTTTCTGTCTATCTATCTCTCCTGATTCATACGTCCTCTCTTGTTACTTGAGAACCACCCACACCCTTTCTCTTCCTCTCTCTCTCTCTCTCTCTCTC